GCGCTGGAGATAAAAAGGAGTGCGCACTGAAGAACCCTCCCTACAGTCGCCCGCTCACTAACTTTACATGCAAGCATAGCACCTGTAGCTGCTGTAGCGCTTTGCTTGTTGGCGCTTGCTTCAGGTGAAGAAGCCAAAGCCAATCGAGCAAGCTCTAAGCTTTCGAGCGCGAGGGCCTAAGGGCCGTGACTTGTTGCCAGCAGCATCTGCAGCGGCTCATGATCTCTCCATGCACGTTTGCTGTGAGGTCCTGGATGTAGATGATGCGGCCTGGTTGATTATTGATTGCAAAGTGGTACAGGTGCAGAAGCAGCCATAAGCATTCTCAGGTCCAGAATGCTCAGGAGGCCCGCTCAGGGTATGTCGTCACAAAGCTGGGAGATGGTGTACTGAGGGTTGTTGGAAGACTCCGGCCTGGAAGGATCCAATCTTGAAGTCTAGCGGCACAGGCCATATGTCTTGTGGACTTGCTTCAGACATCATCAGACGCAGCTTGCTTCCCCAATGCGAGAGAGCTATGCATACGGCCAGCTGCTGTACAGATCTGCAAGGTGAGAGCAAAGCCAAACGAACGATCTCGAAGCTGACCTCGGTCAGGGCTGCAGTGTGCTTCTGTGAGATGTCAAAGCCTTTGCAGAGCTGCAAGGTCAAGAGTCCAAACTTTTCCGAGGAGGCAGAGGCAGTGCAGTGCAGAGTCCACAGTCCACATGAATCCACAACGAAAGCTGTGCTTCAGTATGTTTCAGATTCAGACAGTCGCTTGGCCAACCAAGGCTCCATCTAGCATAAAACATGGCAGCGTGTCAAAATCAGTTTCCCTTCAACAATCTGTTAACAACTGCACTCCGTACACTTCGGCCTTGAGGCAGCTCTGTGCATCGAGAAAGCCTTCGTTTAACAGATTTGGGGCAAACTCTTACCGAATAGAGTCTTGGGAGTACGACTGCTAGCACGTGCCGCCTCGGCCTGGTTCGAATGGGTCAGCCACGGTCAGCCCTAAACAATTTGGTATGCGCCGCCAACGCACAGTGACGACCCGAGACAACATCACACCACCCCCGAACGAGGAAGGGCAGCTGTCCAGTTAACGTTGACCAGTCGTTTCACTGTAGTCGCTGTTCTACGCTATTGTAAACCACCCACGCTGGGGCAACTGTATCATTTCTAAGGCCCAAATGTTCGCTTCGAACGTTTGTGCGATGTCCCTTCCGTGGCCGTTATGAGCTCATAGCTCACGTGTCTTGCCCCACCCAACCCGTCCCTTCTGAGGACCTTCAAAGACCCCAACAGAGGGCACCGTTCCTTTCGAGGACATCATATTGCCTCCTGCTTTGGGAGTGGTGGCTTGCTTGGAAGTCCTGCTTTAGGACCGTTGCCTCCTGCTTTAGGACCGTTGCCTCCTGCTTTAGGAGCGCTGGCTGCTATCTCCTGCTGTAGGAGACTTTCTGTGAAAATTGCATAAAACTGCCCAGGGCAAGAACCAACATGCACTTCCGGGAGACTGCCGAGTTTCCAGCATCCAAATGATGCTTTAGTAATTCCTGTGATTTGTTCCACGTCACACAGCTTGCATGGTTCGCCGGCCGGCCTTTTTCTTCCCTAAACGGATGAATTATGGTGATGTCGTCTTTGTTTAAGGGTGGCAATTAGCTAATGCTGTTGCCTCACACTCCCTTCGCGGATTGGCCAAAATGGAAGGGGTCTGAGCACAAAATCTTGACCCCTAAGGCCCCAAGCCTAAGACCAAATTTTCAATACGGAAACCTTGCCTATTGCCTAAACAAGCCAGAAGTGCTATCACGTTCGTGACCATGTTGGGAGGAGTTGAAGGGGTGAAGAGGAAGGAGCAGGAGGGGCATGGTCATTTCCCGGAGGCCCACGCCCAAGCCTCCGTGGATACACACTAGCAGATCGGCAGTCGGGCGCTTGCAGCATGGCGGTGTGCGGGAAAATTGGCTCCGAATGCCCATGGCTTGGGTCCTCGACGGATTTTCAATTCTTGATTCGTGCGTGTTTCAGACCTCAGTCAGTTAGAGGAAATAATCGATGATTTCCTATGATTTCTTTGCAGCACCTTCGTGGCACCCGTTCATTTTGAGAGAAGAGGAATTCACGTGTTACATCATGTGCTGCTGTTCCTTCACGTGTTCCGCAAATGCTTTTACTGTTGCAGCTTTCACAGAGCAGCGTGCGGCATTCAGGCAGTGCAAGCTGCAAAGGACGTTGCCTTTTTTCCCTCAGAATTTGCTTGCGCTTTAGCTCGACAATGCAGGAAGTTGCCGACAAGGCGTGGGGTGTTGCGAAGAAGGCCCTCATGATTGCCGAGGACATTGAGCATCTTCCCTGCAGTGCACATATGATTCCAGAATTTGCAGCCCTGGAGGACGTAAGAACACGGATGTCGAAGGCTCGGGGGGTCTTGTGATTCTCGCATTGGTGGTGTATGGTGAAATCACGCAAGCTAGCAGCGTGGCTTAATTAGGCTCGAGTTGTCTCTTGCTTTAACAGTAGGGGCAAACAAGGTCTGGAAAGCAGCGAGCTGTTGATTCTGGTCCAAGTTGAGCGTAGGGAGTCGGTTGAGTGTAGGGTGTCAATCGATAGAGTCCCTCACAGGAATCTCAGTTTTTTGAGTGGGGCTCGAAGCTGGGGGAGGGAAATTGATACATCAGTGCTGGCTATGGAAAGGGATCTGCCCGTGTCATATACTCACATATTCGCCCTTCGGATGGTGGACTTACTTGCGCTCGCTCCGCCTGCAATTGCATGGCCATGGTGCAAACAATGTCATGCTTGACGGTTGCATCAAACCTTCTTACCATTTCTGTAGTGTTCACTACCTTTGCATTGTCATGGTACGAGTACCATCATGCGGGCTGGTTGCATCGAACCTCCCTGCAGCTTTTGTACCTTTGCATGGTCATGTTACGAATGACCTTATGCTTGGTGGTCGCATCGAACCTGCATCCTCCTTCTCTAGTGTTGACTACCCTAGCACGGTCATGGTCGAATGCCATCATGGTACACTACCCTTGTGTGCGCATCGTGCGCATAACGTCATGCTTCGTGGCTGCATTAATCGTCCCGCCTGCTTTGGTATTGAAGTGCTGAAGATCTGGCTAGCTCCCGTTGGCCTCAGCTTGTCCCTGAGGCACCCCTGTTTCTGGCTTCCCAACGTTTGCGGTGAGTGGCAGACCAGTTGTGGAATCGAAAGTACCGACATCTCATGGTCGAAGTTGGACATCGTCAGCTCGTCAGCTACGCTCGAGTTCCACGCTCCACCTTTCTTTCATTTGAAGCTGGATGCACTTCTCTCCCGAACTCCCAGGACCTGCTTCGAACTTAATTTCCAAGCTTTTGAAGGAACACGTGTGAACGGATTTCAAGTTTGGAGAACTCGGAGAGCGGGATCATCTCAAAGCTTAAGAAGTTTTGGAGTTCAGAAGTCTGAGACACTGACAGAGCTTGGTTCCAATTCTGCGTTCGGGAGTCAAGCCGTTCGAGACTGGAAAGCTGCATGTTTGAGCATGTTGGGAAGGATCCCAGCCTGAAAGAAGCGACCCCAGACAGAGATTGAAAGCATGAAACATCATGATTCTCATGATGATGGTGATGATGTTACCGTCCTGCTAAGCTTTTCATGAGCCAGTGCATTGGGCTGTCTGGAGGGCCGATCAAGCGTTCAAGCAATCAAGCTGCTCTGTGGGTAGCCTTGAGCCGCGGAAGTCTAACTCGAACGACCTCTCTAACTTTCAATGTTTCCATCTCTTGAGCTCGTGAACTCTTCCAGCGGTCCATCTCGCGGACGGAGACCGCTCGTTTTAAGCTCCCGTTTTTGAACATCTCAAGCACTGCCAGCCAAAGCTTCAAAGCTTCAGCGTTCGAAGCCTTCAACTTCGCAGTTTTCATGGCGTGCATTCTCCGAAACGCGTTCCAGTTTTTTATATCAAGAAGCTCTCGCGCTTTGGAACGCTGCCTGCCTTTGCTCACTTGAGCTTGAACTCTCGAAACCAAGGCTTCATAAGCGTTCTGAACCTTCGCATGTTCAACATTTCCTAACATCATTTTCGAAATACAAAACCCCGAGCGAACAGACCACTCACCCTTCAGAACTTCCATGCCAAGAGCACCTCTTTCTGTTGTTGAGTGTACCTCACGCGTACAAGCTTTCTGAGCACGAGTCCACCATATCGCTTGATGTGCATGGCAGCAACTGGGTCGCACTCGGGATGGGCCAAAGCATTGGAAAGGGCAACGTGGAAGGGGCACTCGACCAAAGCTAGTGGCAGCTAGCATGCTCTGCAGCCTGGAGCTGCAGATGCACAGCGCGGCTCAATCAAAAGTCAATGGTCACAAGACTGGGTGCATTCAGTCTTTGGCACAGCACTATTAGAAGACGGCACGAAGACCCAATATACACTACGCATTGTCAATGTTGGCAACCAAACGGCACATGCTGTAAAACTAGCCGCATTGCTGCTGTGTGAGACTTGTTGAGCCACATGCTTTTGGCTGGCTTGCAGTTGGCAGCTTGTACCTTTGCTCATCACTGTGTTTTTCTGTGATGACGCGGTTGATTGGCGAGTTGCAGCTGTGCGGAAGGGCAATATGTCAGATCTGCCGCAAGCTCCTGGATGTTGGCTGGCGCCTCGATGCCCGACATTGTCATGACGAAGTTGTCTGACGCTGTTTTCTTGGTTCTCAGGCCTCGTAGAGGCAAGATCTTTGCGCCCTCCACGGGCACGGTCGCTAGCCAAGTCATCACCTGCAAATTTCTCAAGACAAGGGTCTTCAGAGGCTCTACAAGAACTTCAACTGACGCCCGCTTCTATGAGCGCATGCATCTCAGCGTCTGCTTCTTTTTTTTAGCGCGCTCTGCGTTTCCGCAGACAAGCCATGGGAGACCTTGGGAGGCCCTGGCAGGCCCTCAGAAGTTGTAGGGCGTTTGGGAGGCTGCGGAAGTCCAAAAACGACATATTTGCCTTCCTCTCGGACACTCGGTCTAAGCTTACTTTTTGCGTGCAGGTGATGCACCTCGCAAAAATTCTGTCAGCTTTCGAACCCGCTGTCAGCATTGAATATGACGGTCAATGACAGTCGATGACAGTCGTTTGCCTGTGTTCAAGGTCTGTCTGTATCCCTGAAATTTGCAAGCGAAATGTTTCTGGTACCCAGTAGAACATGAACGTCTATTTTTCCGATCTGTTAAGTTCACGACCTTTCAACGCTAAAATCCTAACCTTCACCTCGAAGCCGTTGGTGAGATTGCTTTCTTCGGCTTGCACCGAACCGGGGCCGGGGTTGTGGCTATGGGGTGGGGTGGGTGGACAATATTAATGTACTTTTGCACATCAGCAGGACGACACGAGCAGTGTCTTGTTTTGAAGATGTTGCAGGCAGCATGCTTTGTAGCAGGGTTGGACATGAACAAGATTAACGCCACCAGAGTGATGCACTGATTATGTCAGCAATGCTCGGTCTTTTGATCTTCTTGCATTTTCAGGTGTGCTGCCTTCATGATACCGGACTTGCACAATAGCGTTTTTACTTATCTAGTAGGGTTTAGGGCTGCTTCAAAAGCTTCAGCTAGATGCTGCAGAGATTCGCTCTGCAGCCTGAAGGCGCTGGAACAAAGAAAGCTGATATGCTGTGTCCAAGTCCAAACGAGGCGTTGAAAACATGCCTGCATAGATGTTCTTGAACTCTTTTTGCCAGTCTCCGTATACGCCTTTGTGTGACCCTCTTCGAGACGTCTTGCGCTCCCAGGACAAGAACCAGTCTGACTGTCAGTCTTCTGAGGTTTATCATCAAAAGTATCACTAAATCAACCAATCCCAATTTTGCCATACTGCGATGGACGAAAAAGCTTTTAATTACAATGCCACATAAGCAACGTCGCGCAAAACCTGTAGGTGTCTGTGCGTTTTTTGCGCAAGGTAAGGCTTCGACATGCAGCTTTCTGAATATCAGTTGATAGATTCTTGTGAAAAGCCGTAAGCGCAAGATTGCCGGCAATATCGACACAATCCTGTCAACAGTGCAGAAGTGGTGTAATAACCACATTGAAAGCCTCCTGTGGGGGCAATCTTCGACATCCTGCAACAAGCTCCCCGGAGAACCTACATGGGAGCGCGAACCATAGACCCTGACTTTTGAGAAACCCTCAAACCTTACTGACCAAAAATAATTCAAAGCTCGAAACCTGTAAAAGCCTGAACAATCAGAACTTGAGATCAAGCCCTACACCACACTGAAAGCCGTTTGACCCCAAAAGAATTCGGAGCGCTGAACCACCCCAGCGTGATGGAACCCTAAACCGTGAGCTTAAAACCCTCAAGAACCCTAAGTCATAAATAACCCTCAACTTTAAATGAGTAAATGATCCACGCCTGAACTCAAAAAAGCGCTGGACCCGAATCCTGGGCACTAAACGACCCCAAGCCCAAAACCTCAAACACCTGAGCTTTTCGATTACGACACCTGTGATCGAGCGAGTGGATATTGCTACCCAAACAGGTAGTTCGCAAGAGGATACTTCTAATCCCCCAGGACAGATGGAAAGTGGTCGGCCGGTTTCTTTAAAAGACCGAGCTCTAAAGAACTCTAAGCCCTCACAGGGGACGGCTTGCTGGTGTGGTTGGTGCCCGATGGGTGTGGGCGAACGATGGGTATTCTGGGTAAGTCGGGAAGACTTGAAGTCCAGAGAGGCTCCGAGGGGATCCAAGAGGCCCGTGGTGGTGTCGGGGGGAGATCGGGAGGCCGTCCAGGTGCATGCTTTGATCCAATTGCGCTGGTCCTCCTGGTCTTGGCGGCGTTTGGGCTTACCTTTGGTTTTGTTTGAGTTTGAGCCGGAGCTCAGAAGCATTTGTGCCCGGTGCATCGGCAGCAGTTCGACACTTAGTGGCTGCTTGCTGTAACGTCTGGTGAGTTTTTTTTGCTGTTAAGTGCATGTGCAGGTTCGAGCCTGGTCGCGAGGTTGTGGAACTGCAGCAGCCTGGATGCTTTAGCAACATCGGGATGCACGTCACACATGCAGCCAGTCTTTAGGCAGAGCTCTTCATGGGACGAGCAGTCTCCAAACCATGATGTCCCAGACACACAGCAGCAACTAAATTGGCGATGTTGTCAGATGTTATGCCGTGAAAGCAGAAGGATGGGGACGTGGGCAAGCTGCCGTCACAGCTTGCGGAGCAGACCAATGTCATGATGGCGCGGGTACTTCTTCAAGGAGCCCAAGAGTCGTATGGCTTGTGGCACCAGGCGCCACAGCTAGAAAAGGAACGTTTTCTTCCTCCTACCGGTGGCTGCTTCCGGCACCAAAGTCCTCACAGTCGACTTAGCAGCTTGGCAGCATGCTGGAGCTGAAGGTAAGGCGGTCAATCTTTTAAGTTCGTCGTAGTCTTGGAGCACAGGCTCCAGGAACACCCGACCTCTCACGGCAGAGAGACCGCAAGTCGTGCAGCGAGGACGTTGGTAATTGCAGTAGAACCCTTGATAAGCTGTAAACGTAGACACTTGCTGACAATTCGCTACTCACATACGCGCATGCAGGAGGCATCATTCGGCCTTCAACTGCTGGACCATTGTGAGGCTGGACTGCTGAGCTGGTCCAAGTGGATTTTGAAGCTGAAGCTACAGCATCCACGCTGATTGTGCTGAGGCAAAGCATCCTCAAACCCGAAGAATTCGGACATTTGATAATTGATCTGCAGCTGCGATGACATAGCATGACAGCCTCTGGTCATACAAAAACTGCTCTCAACTCAGCGTGTAGCTGCTGGCTGCTTCGGATTTGCAATGCAAATTGGCGCTGAATACTTGATCTCGACACATCCCCACACCGCACTGTTCGGAAACCGGATGCCTTCTTGAAGGGAAAGCTAGTTTGCATTCATCATTCTTGACACATAGAGAGAGAGCGCGGAATCTATGCTTTTGCATCACATGGATTTCAGCCTGACATTTGCATGGCATCGCTGTATCCCTCGCTGAAGCTTGGAGCCTAGTGACGCTGCTTCTGGACATGCGACATGCAAAACAACTCTTAAAGCAACTCGCAGTATGCAGGAGCCCCCTATTGCCCGGTCCACAGTTGCCGGGGACACAGGCTGCTCAACGTCTCCCAGATGGAGGCAACGCGTTCCGAATAACTGCAAACTACCTGGTACGATGTGGTACGTGGTTGCTGTCTCAGTCTGCCGACGTCTGCTGTCAAGTCAGCTGGAAGATCTGATCTCTGCAGGGACTGACACCAGGCACGCTCCAAAGCCATGTGGATCATGAGTACAGGGCCGAAGATGGCAGGACGACACCTCCAAAACCCTTAGTCACCGAGAAGCTGACCAAGGCCGCAAAGCTTAGCTTCCCTACTCATACTTTCGAGGTCTAGCCTTTTTGCATTTTCAAGCATTTCTAGGCCGAGCCTGTGCCGCCGGGACTGATTGATGGCGATGGCCAGCGCAGCCCAGACTCGCTTTGCTCAAAGCTGCAGCTTGAGCCATGTGCTTGAGCCTAACTTTCAAAAAGCTCCCCTTTTCTCCAGGAGGCCGCCTGACGGATCGTGTTGTGCGGGTGCGCGATTCTGTGCCACTTGCTTGATACGCAGTCCGTCACTTGAGTTGTGGGGTTGCAGGATCCAGCGGAGCGCAAGGCCAGCCTCAGGACAGCAATGCAAACGGTCAGCAAACCCCGGCTTCCACTACAAAGCCCTATGTGCACCACATGCACTAAAGAGCGCAGGAAAGTAGCGAAGCACACCTGGACTCCTACAGAGTACGCTCCCGTTCTGCAATTACAGGCCTGCACAGTACTGCATGATTACTGAGGGATTTGGAGCCATCCTTGCAGCAGCAGCCGCTCGTGCTTCTGGGAGACTTCATGCCCAAAGATGGCCTGAAGGAGCTATCATTGTCAGATTTCCCGCAGTTGCATTGCCAATTCTCCTGAGGAGACGGAAGCCTGTGAGAGAAAGATCCTTTTGTGGGTTGATGCCTCAAATTGTAGTTCCCGCGCTCTGGTGGCGGAAGCTGATCTCGAGGATGAAGGCCGGCGATGTTTTGCATCACACTGGTTCACTCCCCATCTTCCAGCTGCCCGCAACTTGCTCTTGTCCTTGTGGTGATGTTGTATTAGCAACCGTCAACACACGTGCTGGGAGCAGACGTCTTCGACTATTCCTATGTCGGGTGCATTCTGCTAAGGCCCGGTGTTCTGCCATCGAATGTTTGCGGCTATGCTTTTGATCTTCTATTGCAGCATGGGTGTGGCCCCCAGTCAAAAAGAGCCAACATGTGTTAGTAGCAGAATTGTGGACAGGCCATGGGAAGCCCTCCACAGCAAGAAAGGCCAAGTCACTCGAGAGACATGTCCAAGCCTTGAAAAAAATGCTCCCTTTTCTTCGTTACAGAGCTCAGCTGAGGCTGGTATGTCCGAGCAGGTTGTCGCTGTGACTATACCTACGGCACTGCAAGAGTTTCTGGGCTAAGTGGCTTCACCATGCCTTCGACTCTTCCGGCTCACAACCCCAGGTCAGAGCAAAAAAAAAACCTTCAGCTACTTTTCGAGCGGTCCGAGCCCAAGAGTCTCGACTAAAGTGACTACGAGCAGTTTCTGAACGAGACTAGCAACGGCCGAGGCTATGGAAACTTTGCTGGAAGAGGTCATGCGCAAGGAGCCCGGCCTTGAAAACCTTTCCGATAGATAGCTGCATTATTCTGAGGCCGTGTGTGTCCTTGGCTTCCGAAAGATGCGTGGCCAAACTCCGCAAACCTGAACCTCTACACGGAAGCGTGGCAGTCAGTGGGTCTTGGCCTCAAAGCAAGCTGCGAGTGGTTAAGTGCAACAAGTTGTCAATTCTTCGGTTCGGCAAAGGTTGGCACGCCGATGATGAGTCTCTCTTTATGGGTGGCTGGCTTGGCGCCACGCAGGGACGCTGTTGGAGCGTTCTTTTGTGTGTGGATTGGGTTTCAGGCCGCGACCGAGACTGTCCAATCGTTTCCGTTTCGCTGGGTGCCAGGAGGGAGAGCTGGCCTGAGATCATGTCATTTTCGCGCAAGAACTCACAGCACAGAATGTAGTTGAAGCTCTCTCTCTCTCCAATTAATTGCCAAGAGCACAAATGCTTGCAGCCTAAGACAGGTAGGCCGTGCGTGCAGTTTCGGTCGTCTAGCTCCTTGTGCCACTATAGACCCCACCACTTGATCCTAGATCCCAAATCACATGCTGATGAAAAATGCATGTTGCTGCATGTTGATAACAGCACTTGTCTAGATGATTTTCGGTAGATGCTTTGCGGTAGAGCGTTTTAGGCTGCTAAACTTTCCTGAGGTTTTGGCTTGCTCTTCGGCACGACAACTGTATGGACCCTCAGTCGAAGAGCATCATTGAGGCAGCTTGCGGGGAAGAAGCGTTGCATGTCCTCAGGACCCTTCTGAGCGTCATGGTGCTGCTAAGACACTGAATGGCAGGTAGATCTGCGCGATGGAGATGTGTTGACAATGGAGGCTCTCTTGCGGAGATGCACACATGGGATTGTTGTGAGTGACCTCGCCTTGAGACACTCCTGCCCAGTCGCACATGGGTAGGGCGGGAATGAACAGGTGTATGATACTGTTGCTTCGGCAATGCTAGTTTACAATGAACACGCGACTTGCTGAACATTCGACGGAAATTCAGGTTTAAAGAACTCCCGTGAGAGGGAAAGCACATCTGTCCCGGCGTTTACGCGTCTTGCTTTGAAAGGGTTCTGCACCCAAAGCCGTGCAAGGAGACACGGCTGATTGCTGTGTTCTCTGTTGTGGAGGAGTTGGCAAGAGCTGTTGTGCGGAGGATGAATGGTTGGATGAACTCCTGGAAAGAGAAGCCCTTTGTCACATTGCTTGGGCAATGACGTGTCTGTGCAACGGCAGTTTAGGCAGGGATTTCAGCTCGACCGCGGTCCTCATCATTTTTTTTCCCGGCAGGTCTCATTCATTTTATTCAAGGTGGCTGATCATGTGCTGTATACGGGCCATGGGGCCGTAGTCAACAGGACTGTCACAGCCGGTGTACAGGCCTCTACGCGATTGATCGGTCCTTCCTGCAAGGGTGCTGGAAAGTGACAGAGGTCTGACTTCGGAGTGACGATCACCCCTTCAACCTCTGCAGGGCATCAGCGCGCAAAACATAGCTTGCGCTCAGCGCGCCTCCGGGCTAGCAAATTAGCCAGCTGCTCATCCTCATGTGATCTACACCCAGAGGACATCAGGCAGGAATATGCCAGCAAGGAGCCCATGGGCTCAGTAACACTGAAGGTCATCTCTGCGGCGAGGTTATCCTGTAGGCTTCATGCTTCCAGATCCGGAGATGGGAGGGCAGCAGTTGGCATGATCCCGGATCCACATCACGGTCTTGCAGTACGCTCACAACCACACACGGCTGCAAAGACAACGAGGACTGGCACATCTTGAAGAATATCAGTGATCACGCCCAAGCAGGCCTCAGAACAGACATCACGTTGTCGACCTTAGACCGACCCTGCACCCTGGAGTAGGATGAGGTAGAAAGCTTACAGAGCGTAGTCAGTTTCAGCAGAACGCCCAGTTTCGCCAAAGTGACCGAAATCACCGGAAGGGAAAGGAAAGCTGTGCAGAGGCAGAGAGGCTTTACACTTCGGGTCAGGGGGGTGAAGATCCTGGCATGCGCCGATATCCATGGAAGACCCACTTGAAGACGTCATTGCTTTTCACCTGCCCTCGGCCCTCTTCTCCGCGAACTCATGATCTTCGCGTGAGACAGATGACCCATCCTGTTGGTGATGGTAGCCTCCTCCGTGCCCAAGGAGCTTGGGCCGGACTTCGTCAAGCCACCCATCTGTGCATCATGCGTTGCTATCGCCGTCCAGCGCAGCACAATGTGAGTATGGCTTTAAGTCGATGCGTGCATTGATGGGTAAATGAATGGATTGATCGATAGGTTTATTTGAATATCTTTGGTTTACCGGTTCGCGACCATTTTCCACTTAATGACGCGCATGAGGAGAAGGCGCAGCGCTGACCACGTTTGCCCCGGTCGGCGGCTACAAATCGGCGAAGGGCCTTTAGGGGGAGCAGCAGCAAAAGATTGCCCTTGCAAAAAGTAGGTTTGACATATTCGGTATTGTAATGGCATGTCTGAAGTTTAAGGGACGCAAAATTGCATCATGTGAAATTGAAAATGATACGCTGACTAGTCTTTCCCCCTTTCCCAGCTTGCTCGCCAAGCGTCTCTTTGCTCACTCTGCATTGGCGCCCGGGGTCAATCATAAGTCCCGACCTGCAGCAAGGCATAGCATCCTTGGCCATCATTAGAAGTGGGTACTGCGCATCTAGAAGGCTTGCACGTTCAGCCACAGGCAGCATCGAAGATGTCACTTCCCAGAAGCTGGAAGGTCACTGGCGCAGTGGCACGTGATCTATACGTCTGAAGGATCTGGAGAATGTCCTGTTCGGTCGCTGGCCGTCCGAAACGCGGAGGTCACATTGATCTGGCGGCTCGGCCAAGGACAATCTACTTGAGGTTTCTTCCGGGAGAAGTGGCCTCGCGCCGCGGACAGAGCCAGAGCCCGGCCCGCCCATCGCTGAATGGGGGCATCTGCCGCCCCGTCTCTACAAGAGCTTGCAAGATTCGAGAGATTCTGTAGGTGATGTGGCCTGACTTGCTGATTGGCAAATTCATCCAAACAGCACTGCCTGGTGCAGTTTCTCGTGTATCATTTTTGATAATGTCGATGTTCCTGATGAGCCCACGCCAACGCTGTTCCGTTGCAACGAATCATGTTCTGCTTGGATCTGCTTGGTGTCTGGGTACAAGGACTCTCATCGCTGGCGTGCTGCTCCCAATAGTAGGGGAGCAGCCACGTACTTGAATTGAAGTTGTCACGCCCGACTGACCATGTGGCTTCTATGATTTGCAGTGGCAAAGAAGGGATCTAGACCGCGGATGTCCAGTACTCGTTTGTGGCCTGCAAGAGTCCACAATGAGCAACATTTTCGCCACGATTTTCATGATCCTAAGAACCGCTGTCGTCAATCAGATCCAGTCGTCCTACTCGCGCAAAACTTTTCAAGTTTTGAACACTTTTTTTTTGGACGCATCAAGTAGCTTTTTCTCAGAAGCGTTAATTACAGGTTTTACTAGAACTTAGAACCGCCATGAATGCTTCCAAAGCTTCTATTTAAGTCTAACATAATTCTTCTATTGAACTTATCGGTAAAGATGTCCTTAAATCTTCTACAGCTCCAATTGACTCATGCTCTTGAGACACTTTTACAGTACAAGTCTTTTCAGAGATGCTATTGGACCTTATGATACCTCATGTCAAAGCCACAATGGTTTCACCAGCTAATGCGTTTTGACAATTTCCCCTAAGAAAACCCATCTTATAGCCTTCCACCAATAACAGTAACGTTTTGGGTTCAGGTTTTTTTTCCCTGTTTTCCGCCCGACCTACGCCAATGTGAGTGTGCATATGATATACATTTTCTTTTATTTCAGGGGTACTTAGGCTGCCCCTGAGAGCTGGGAGTTTCAAGCTTTTCCTGCAGTTTTGATTGTTCCAGGGAACCCAAAATCATTGCAAGCATTGCACATGAACATTGCAGTGCAAAGACAAACCCTTCGCAACGTATTCTGGAAAACGATCAGTCTTCTCGCGCTGATGTCGCTCACTGGTATGGTTTGAGAGCCCGTCTGATCCATTTCCAGAAAACTCTTTGGCATCTTCGGCTGGGTTTGATCGATGACCTGCCAAGCTGACGTTGGTCAGTGGCTGTGGTCATGGGGCACTCGTGTGCTTTCTTCAGTGTTTGATATATTGAAATCGGTAGATGATTGACCATGGTTCCATGCTATGGCCTGCTTAAAGAAAAAAGTTGCTATGCTGTGAACTGACGCAATTCCCACGCTTCCTGCGCTCTGTGGGAACTGCTGGTCACACTTACAGGCATGGTTGCTTCATGCGCAAGGCGCAGCAAAGCGTTCTCAAATGTAACGCCGCCTTGCTGCGCTGCGGTCTCGCAGCTCATCGCAGCCACATGGTGTGCTCTTGCTTGGGGGGCACCTGCAGTTCTGACCAACAATCTTGAGTGGTTGCAGCCGTACGCAAGTGATGAGCATGTCCCAAATATCAGACCAGTTCGATTCTTGTTTGTTCTTGTTAGTGGGCATCAAGTCGCAGAACGCTGCCAGGGCCTCTGCCAGAAGCATTGCGTCCACTTCGTGCCCTGTGACATACGCAGCGTAGCACCTCATCCTGGTGATTCTGACAGCTGCGCAGCTCTCAACTGTCGATTTTTGGCATCATGATGGTGATGGAGAACGCTGCTGCTCTGAACGTGGGTGTCTCCTCAGGTCGAAAGCGAATTAACGTCACGTGGCGCTGGATCCGCGACCACAAGCAGAGGTGCAGGAAGCCAAGCCTGAGTCCGAATCGTTGTCTTCTGGTCTGCAGTGAAAGGACATTAGACGTAGTGCGTTAGTCATTGTGCAGGGCAGTGCTGCCACGATGCATGCTGTTCAGTCACTTTTGGAGTCTGCTTGCTTCACCAGGTCCCAAGAGATCAGCTGACGGCTCCGAAGACCTGTACTTCGAAAGATACGGCGCGCAACACAGACCGGACCTATTGTTGCTGAAAGAAGCTGACTTAGCACTGCCAGCTTGTGTAAGGCTCGGCCCGTTCAGACATTAAGCCAGTCTTGGCACACTCCTGGGTGTTTTGCTAAGCTTCGCTGACTTCCCAATGCATGTGTATGGCATTGCCCGAGCTCAAGGCCCGCGGTCATGCAATGGCCTGGAGATCATGCCAGGAATGCGTGTGGACCCGAGCTAGCGTAGATTGTGATTCTCCAAATCAGACGACCAGAAATGGCTGAGCCTCTCGTAATTACAGGACCATGACGCTTGGAAGGGCGGCCGGAACTGCGTGAAACACCAGTCTGCACCTTGCTGATTCCATGCTTTGCACTTCAAGAAACAAGCACTCTGAGCCCAGGAAGCAGTGGCTCTGCAGGCTCTCTAAAATTGCATGCAGTTGCATGTTTGCTGCGTTTGGAGGTACCTTGTCTGTAGAAAAATTTGGAGCTTCCCAAACCAGTGGCTTCTTAGCTCTGCTCGAAAAGGACCTGCTATGAATACAAGCTGACCGGTGTCTGGCTCCTGGCAGATCCGAGCAGCAAAATGTGCCTTTCCTTTCCTCTCGTCTTGCAGGGGCCTGCTCGGGAAAGACTGCGGCCGCCACGGGAGAGAGGGCAGAGGCCACGAGGACACGTGGAGGTTGCACAAGATCTGGAGCAAGCCGCCACGCGTCAGGCACATGGAAATCTCCATGATCCGAGCCTTTGCAGCTGAAGAAGAGGCGGGTGTGGGGAAGTTGGCAAGCGATGCAAGTGTGACAGTCCTAGCAGTCACTTTTCCTTGAAGTACAGTCGGTCAACGGTAAACGCAAGCTGAGCAGGCTGTTGCACCGTAAGCCTTTTTTCTCTGGCTTAGATGTGTGCACTTTTCCTTGGCTGAGGAAACGCTAGCCGCCAGCACAACCTGCATCATGCAGAATGCTGTGCACGGGCCAGGCCAGTGTCGTAGGTTCACCAGGCTGTCCCTTGCTGAATCTCATTGGCGAAGGTGAGTCTGCGCAGGATGTACAGTCTTCCTTCGAGGCGCGAGCAGTTACTCAACCACAGCAAACATGTTTCGTCGCGGACAGGACTATGCCCAGTTCCATTATGCCTGTTGGTGTGGAAAGTCTAGTCGGTAGCTTGACCTGGCTATGGCCTCGAGTGCTTATGATAGCTTTGTTGCTTATACGCTTCATACGCCCTTCTTCCACAATGCAGCTGTGCCACATTTGTCGGTACCGACTTCCTTGATTACGCAAGCTGAGCTCCAAGTAGGCCAACGCCTTCAAAATCAAACAAGGCGCTTCAACGACGGCCCCAGAGCCATATGATCATCATCCTTCTGTCGAGGTGTCAGGCACAGGGGAAGGCCCTGCGGTAACGAACATCTTGTCAGGGTCCTCACCACAAAGGACCCACCCACAACAGCTTCTATTTCTGTTTGACACTCATCTCCAGTTCTGGGCCTGCACCCGTATTCAGGAACTCTCTGTTGACGAGCATTGCATACGCTCTGTCGACGATGGACTCAGTTCAGCCACGTGCGTACAACCCGCCTCGCACACAGTCACCAGCTTCCCAGTTCTGTCGACTACGAGGAGAGTACGGTACCTGGATTCCAACGACGCACAACGTTAACCAGTTGATGACTCGAAGCATGGATCTGGCAAGCCTAGACAGGTGCTCTCGAAGATGAGTGTCATTGTGATTTGGACATCGGTGCATTTGAATCTCAACTTGGAAGCTTTGGAAGACGGACGTCATTCGGGTTTGGGCATGACATGGACGCTCTCAGAGATGCAGGTCATCACGGTTTGGGCATGGCTGCTCGGAAAGGGATGCCGTCATGGTTTGGGCATGGATTATGGCCGGCAAATGCGCTACTGCATGGCGTAATTACGGCTAAAGCGGGGGCCCTCTGACCGTTGCACCTCAAAAATGTATGCCGCGAAACACATAATTGAATGCACACGAGAAGAAGTGAGTCAAGTCGTGCAACAAAGACTGGTTCAAATCAAAGGGAGCCTTGGACAAGAAATACAGCAGAAGTTCCTCCTGTACAGCTGCCAAGAGGCACTTGTGGAAAGAAGCGAGGGGACAGCAACTTGCATTGTAGCCTGGCATGTCTCAGTCACAGATTTGCATTTTTCAGCAAGAGAAAGAACAGGAAAAGCAACATCACAAGCAAGGCCCCGAGCAGGATGCAAGATTCTCTTTGCGCAGCAGTTTGAAGGTGCTGATGTTTGCTGCAGCTGAAAGTTCCAGGCACCACTCGCTAGCATTAGCAGAGCCTGATTGTTGTGGTTGCCGTTGTGGTATCCTGTCTTGAGATTACTGTAGGCTGTGGCCCCAAGTGTCGAAAGCGCAGCAGGCACCCAGCAGCAATAAGCGCCAGTGAGAGGTGCTGTGCCGCCTTAGCTGAGGCCATAAAGCCTGGGGAAGATGATCGAATTCCACAGCAAGTTGCCCAGAACTGCTCGTCTGAATTTCTTTACAGCACGTGAGATAAGGTCCTTCTACCCCAGTGCAGAGCCTTGCCCGGCACATAGCCAGTTGGAAAAGGCTGGCACGCTGCTTCAAGCTCGTATAGCCCAATACACATGGAGCTGTACTTTAAGCTTTCAGTCAGCATGTTGGCTCCAGCCGTGAAACATGTGCAGGCAACCAGCCAAGATGCTGTCTGCTACGGAAGCTGATTCATGTCCATCCTATACTGCCGAATTTCCAGCTTGTGGCTAGACTTAGCCTACGCAGCGTCACAAAGGATGACATTCAGATTCATACCTCACAACACGAGTCACAGACCATGAGACGTCAGGAATTTCCGAGAGATCTGCTGTGCAGATGTAATTCGTTCGGCCAAATTCGTTTGCAAAGATGGGTCGCGGACTTTTTTCGTCTGCCAGTTGGCTGTGGCCTTGAACCCAGGAATTTGCTCAGACTTCAACCTTCTGTGCCGTTGCTGTTGTAGAGGCTTGCCGCCGGACAGGAATTTCCAACAATGGAGCCCATGTCCCAAACTCCTCAGACATGCGGTGAAGATCCGATATTGCCGAAGAGCGCTTCGATTATGTCAGGACATGGTCTTATGAGTACCCAAGGCAGCAGCCCACAACTCAGATGCTGCTGACAACAAGTCTACTGCACGCAGTGGCTGTAGCAGCAGGTCTGAAGTACTGACAGGTACTGTGTGAGGACCAGCGGATCTGGATCTCAACTCTAAGTTGTGTCGAAAAGTTATCCATGTCCATAATGGCTTTATTCGTAGAACAGATAGCAGAAGGAGACTTTGCACAGTCCATTAGGTATGTAGACAGTGTTTCTGTTTGGCTCCTCGACATACATTATCACAGGTCACGGGCTCAAACGTGTTGCTGTCATTTGTGCATGCGCTAGTCCTGCATCCACTGCGGCACCTAGGCAGACTGCCTAGACGCGAGCCCATTGATGGAACATACAACAGTTTGATATTTATACCCCTGCTTGGAGTGTTCCGCGTCAATCTGAGAGCAGCAAATGCCCAAGATACTGGAAGAACATTGTTGACACGCACTGCGCGCGGAGCTTGCCTGCTTGTCTTCTGGAGTTGTGTCTGCCACCCTTCGTTTTGCAGTGGCCAGGTCAACGTACCAGTCCCCGATCGACATTCCAAAGCCGCTGCCTTCGTCTGACGGCCGTGCAAAAGAAGCCCTTCTACCTGTGGAGAATGCTAGAAAGTCAAGGACTCTGAACTATGTCGACCACGCAAACCTTACGTAAGCGCCTCAATCTTCATGCCCTTGATGTTGGCATCCTTGCTCTTCGGGGTCCAATATGATTTCTGTTTAGGGTCCAAAGAAACAACATGCATTTCAATCGACACTCTCTAGTCTTACCATTATTTTGGCTTCGCGCGGATAGTATTGTTGTTGTTGTTGTTGGTAGTATGGGGCTTCTTGCTTTGTCTGATTATGTTGTATTCCAAAGCATCCTAATATCACTGGAAAAGAACCTAACTACATGCATCTGCACAAGCAAGCATGCTCCCTAAACCTTAAGCTCCAAACTCTACATTCTAAGCCTCTTCAACGCCGGTTGCTCAGCACGGGCTGACTGGGCTTATGAGTACAAGTGCACTGCACTACGAAAAACATGCGCAACGCAGTGCTCAGGGCCTGGGCCTGAAAAGCAGTGCCATTGTAGATTCCGCGTCGAAAGCTGCGCCCTTCCGTCAAGTAGCATCGACCGACCTCTCCCCCTCCTCCTGTCCTCTTCAGTACACATCCGAGAATCTGAGATTTATCGCACGACAGGCGACACTCAGAAGAAACACTGTCAATCCCTGGGCCCCTCGGGCCTCCTGGCTCCTTGCAAAGGTCCAAAACTAACGAAAAGGTGAAAGCGCTGCGGCTAGGGCCGAGGCTAAGCTTCTTCCAGACTTGTTGGCAGGCAGCTGACCGAAGGAGTTGGAGAAAGACTTGGACCTTTTGTCGCATCCCCGGCTCTCTCTTGCTACGCTGGTGTGCTCCATGCTGCGTCGGTGCACAGGCCTGGAGTCTGGCAGCTCAGACCTTGAATGTCACCTTACACCCAGGCTTGGATGGTAAGCCTCAAAGTCCATGACGGAGCTGCGGTTAGCTTCGGTTACTGGTGCAGGATGTAAGGGGGTCGCACACATTTGCACACAGATCGGCAACATGTTGAAGTCATACTTGTTTTCTCTGACGAGCGGCAGTACTTGGGGCAGTCCTGGTCAGTCCCTTGCGTGGAGCCTCTCCAGAAATCACTTTTTAGGGAGTTCTATGCTTCTCCCATTCGGGGCTCAGTCCGTGCGGTCTTGGACCACTCCTGGGGCGCTCAGGGGGTACTCTATGCCTACCGAGTACTAGAGTTAAGTCGGTCCGTGTTGTGTGAAGTCGTACCGCAGGCGCGCGTGCATATGGATTCTCATCTACAGCCATAGCGTCGTGGATATCTCCATTACTTTTCTTCGTAACCTGCACGAAGTTGCCTTGACAAGCGTTTCAGCCAGTTCATGATGCGCCTGCTCGACGTGGCAGATTTGCAGACCTCATGTGGCAATCACATGGAAGACTTCATTCGTGTATATTACACAGAGACTGACGTGGCAGGGCCTCTGACATGGGAAGTGAAATTGGTGAACCCTGAGAGCGTTGTGGTTCAAATTGGCGGCCCCGGGCTTTGCCTTTGAATCAGGGAATTGGCACCTGGACTTATGCAAGCGAGGTCTTGACTACAAGCTGGAGTCTATGACTTTCAAGTCGCCATCAGAACACACTGCTTCGGGCTAATTTGAATTTACGAAGAAGGTGATTGAATTTGCTTTGGCCAGCATGGGTAGGAATCTTTGAGCTGAGGTACAGGGTGGCCACAATGCAATGGAGATTCAGATGCGTCACGTGGCGAACACCCTCTTTGGGGCCGGCGACTGAATCTCTCCAGCTTGTCCATTTCTCTGGCAGTTTCCTCTAAGGGTGAGAGGAAGGTGCTGATGGTTTCAGTGAGCTTGAGAATGGCAGAGAACGTGGAAGACTCAGCCTGCACCCACACATTTGCGTACCGCTCTGACGTCTTGAAGGCTTGAATGCATGATGAATCACATCGGCAACTGCTGTTGACACACTCAGGGTGGCAACGCCTTTTTGTCACCCATCTGGTCAGCCATGCCAGCAGATGGCAAAGGAGCCCAGGCCTCAGGTTCGGCTTGGTTGTCTTTGTGCGCTCTTAATTAAAGCGCTGCAATCTGCGCCGAAGACCTGGGCATTTTGCAGACTTTTACGCTGCCGAATCTACCCAGGCCCCCTCCACGTATATTGCCAACCCATACTTGGAACTCGCTCCTCCGGACGGCTGCAAAGCGAGCATGCAGATTGCGTTAGTGTTGGATCTTTGGGAATCGCTTGTATGATGTTTTATCTGACGCAGACATCTGATGTGATTGGTACTTGCACCAGTGCTACTCAGACAGGACAAGTCCTTCATTCGATATACTGGAACCACAACCGCGAGCGGCTCTGTGCAGCTGCAGGTGTTCTGTCGGAATGCAATTTACAGTACTCCGCTGAACTTTTCTTAGGCTCCTCCCTGCGAGCGAGCAGAATGGATTGTGCAGCCCTGAACGTGCGTTTGTCAGCTGGGTGTGCTTTTCCCTGTGAAAGGTATTTATGGAGCCGGGCTATGTCGGGATCCCGCAGTTGCAGCAGTTCAGATCCAGCACTTGGCTGAGAGTTGACAAGATGGTGCTGACAAGTTTTTCTGCTCCTTGCACATTTCCCTCAGGTATCAGTGGCTACCAGCCTTCCAGATTAGCCCCTGTAGTGATCCTAGCATGCTGGCAAACTCCTCCCGATACTGCTTTGGGATATCTTAGATGAGGCCAATGGCACTTTGCCACTTGGAATATCGAAAGCTTGGGACACGACAACTCCTCAGATTCACTTTGAACAAGCAGCGCAAGAGTTCAGTTCTGCCAGCTCTTTCCAAGATGCGCGTCAACTAAGTCGATGGGGGCGAAACAATCGCCTGGCTCAGGTAGTGACCTCAATGTAATTAGATGCGCCCATGGCGTCATGTCACGTCTGAAAGGACCTGGGATTACGCGAAGTTCAAATGGTAGAGATGATGAACGCCGACCCGAATGCCGTTCCAAAGTTGACGGTCATCGCAGGCCTTTGTTGAGGAAGCGGGCTTCTGAGACTTTGCCTGTATGTTGTGCCCAGGCATGGCAGGGAATTCATCATGGGAGCAGCCTTAGCCTAAAGACACATGAGAGCTATTGAGAGTTATCAGGGTCTCGAAATCGTCTCGGAAGGTTGAACACATTTTGGATCGTCACGATTGCGTTTCTTGTCTGAGCCCCAACGCCAGCCCAAGCCCAGAGATATGTTAGCTGCTAGCTGACTTCTCGAGGTCTTCATCTGCGTAATCTGCAGCGCATGGCAACTTAGCCGCAGAAGGAGCAACGCCAAACTTTGCAGATTGCACGGTCTAGGCTGCTTCGCGATCAGCTCTTCCATGACGAGGCGCTGGTCAAAAAGGGGTTCAACAGTTCTTCTTCTTCTTGCATAGAAGAGCATTCAGTGAGGAGTATCCGTCGGGCATGTATGGCATTGAGCTCAGTGCCGCGAAAATGCCTTTTTCATCCTTGCACGCAGCATGTGTTCAATGAGCGCTTGTTCGCTCCTTGCATGCTTGACACCTAGGCAGGGAGCTCAGGCGCAATGGCTGCTGTGAAGCTTCGGATTCCGAAGAAGAGATGCCTCTCGCATTTGAACGTGAGCTGAGCACGCTAACATCCCTAACATGATGTCTTAGATGGCACGCCTGGATCTGCAGGTTTCAACCATATGGGCCCTACCCAGGGCCGTGGCCACAATGGCACATGCCTGCACCGTCGTACATGGCGCCCCTCCCGGATCAGTGCTGACCTCATTTGGCATGCGGGTCCATCTTTCATGAGCTATATAGTCTGTTCTCCTTAGAAGGGCTTATATAAGGGTTCCCCTACTATGGGGCTTATTAGGAGTTTAGACTATGGCTCATATGGAACAGGGTCCGTGCAGGCACCAAGTATTGCTAAGTAAGGTACATGCACGCTGCACCTGCCCGAGCTGGGTTCGGGAAGCAGGATCAGATCTACATCGCTTAAGGTGGCGCTACCAGCAGTTGCAGCGTCTCACAAGAAACATGTAACCACAAGGCAAAGTCCTTTCCGTGTGATTGCTGCGATGCATGTGGGAAAAATGTTGAGTCAGGATTAAGATAATCAGCTGGGTGCAGCTCGAACATTTATTTAGTCGCTAGCGAGTGCCGCCTCGGGGGCGAGGGGCTCGACAGCGACGCAAATTAGAAGCTGTATGAGTTACCAAGGTCCAGTTGCGGCTTGGTTTGCTACCCTTCAATCTACAGTAAGTCAGCACGCCCCTGCGTAAACCGCATCTAGGCCTTGTGCGTCATCCTCTGCTGCGTCTGTTCATACTTCCTTGCTGTTCAGAGCTTGAAGGGTTGAGAAAGCAAAAGTGAAGGGAGGGGAGGGCAGGGGGAGGCGAAAATGCTCCTGGTGAAACCAGCCCGGGAACCCCGAACTGACCGCCGCTAAGCCGGACCCCCAGGCCAAACCCCAATTGACAAAATAGACGCCCAATGAATGTCAAATTTTCGGGACAGCGCCCTGGAAAAGGGGTTAAAGGGGGTTGGGAACTATTGGGGCCCTCAGATCTAGACGCCCCAGGCCTCCGCCCTCGGCGGATTGGGCATATTATGCTTAGCAGGAAGTTTTGTGCATGATGAGCAGACATGACCTTCTTGGCAGGACTTGTCTGCATGTGGTAACCGGTCACGCAGGCATTCAATGCTTCTTTTGGCACATGTGTGGATGCGCAAGCGATGTACTGCAAACTCTATGAAATTCATGTAAGTTGACTACCTGCACCTCAAAGGCATTCAGTTGTGAGAGCCTGCAGCCCACCTCATTAGACGGGCCGTTTGTGCTGTAGATGTGGCCGATCGGCTCTCGCTTGGGCTCTCGCCTAGTCCAGTCGGCACGCCGCTTTGCGAACTTCTTGCCTTTCTGAAGCACATCGTCAAACAGCAGCGCGGACCAAGGTGGATCCACCAGCTTTTCCTTGCATGGCGCAGTCTCGTCTGCAAAAGTGCAGGCCAGTTTGTTGCAAGAAACTGCGGTTTCGGAGTCTTGCGTTGCCTGCGCACCGACTTCAGGTTCAAGCAGGAGACTTGGTTTCTGATGGAGGTGCGGATGCTCCTGAAGCCCGTCCAAATACATGTGAGTGTGCCTGCTGACGAAGGCCATTGCGACCTCATTGTGAACTCTGCAAATGAGACGCTTGAAGGACCGTTTCTAACTCAGTCGCAGCGTCTGGTTGGGCTGACCGGACGAAGCCTTAGAGGTTGCATTCGCTCCAGGCTGTTTCCGTACTTTCCCATTGGTTTGTGCCCCAGTGCAGCCTCTCACTACGCGAGCCACGGAAGCGTGTCCTTCGGGTCAAGGTGCCGAGTGCGAGAGTGGGGATGTGTACTACCAGGATGAAGTCGCGTGGAGCTCAGACAGGCGATTGGTGTGAGCTTTCTGCGTTTGCAAACTTATCTGTTTTTACAGCTTGCAATCCATCTTTCAAACCTTCAAGGTTGATGGGCGAATCCACAAAGCTGCTGGCCCGGCACTGGGCCAGGACCTTTGAATGACCATGCAGGGGTCTTGTAGGAGGTGCTTCTGGTGATAACGGACTGAGGCCACTTCTGTTTTCGAACTTGAGGCCCTGACTTGGAGCTCTCTTGACACACTCCCCACACTGAAACTGGACGTGGCAAATGAAAACGCCACTTGGAAGTGACTCAAGCAGGTACTTGTAGGTCTGGGAAGGCCAAGGGCTTGAAAGAGCTTGGGAAAAGGGGCAGCTGCACAAATGAGAGTTGCGACGTGACATGCCAGTTAGAACTAGAGCCATGAAGGCCTGTCCAAGCAAGGTGCAGGACTAATGGAGAAGGAGAATAGCATAATGTCCTGAATGCCCCTGTACAACACAGTACAAGGCTTGGAGCCAGATTCCTCGACTCTGTCCATCACAGGTCATATGAAACTGTTGAGTGCTTCAGCTAAGCGACAGGCAAATGGTGGAAGCAGAGGGACACAGAGAGTGAACAACTGCTTTCAGCTGAGGGCCATACAGTCTGTCTTGATAATTCAATTCCCTCCTTTCGATCAGTCACCAGTTGCTGCTCGCCACTTCTCTCTCAATGCACACGTGTGCATTTATGGGTTGTTATTCCTTGAGAGTTACAGGTGGAGATGCAACATATTTGTCCAGATGCAAGAAAAATATAGGGAGGCTGTGGATGTTGTGGTGTTTGCTACCTCTCAGTTCCAACAGCAGCAGCTTCATTCTTCAATTCTTCATTGCCACATGCGCTGCAGGTCGACTTTGCCGACGCCTGCCTGAGCTGCACGAGTCTTACGTCCCTTGCTCCTCACTTCCTAGTGCAGGACTGTGTTCGCCGCTGCAAGGCCGCCGGATGACGATCCAAACGCGCCATTTCCAAGTCCGTACACGCAGCGCTGTGAGATTGGGGGAGCGCGGCTGACGGAGGCCTAGCTTGGGAATCTTTTGGGGAGAGCATGTACTTAATGTTGCTCAAGCAGATGGGGCAGAGAAAGGGGCATGCTCGGCAACCATTCACTTGAAATTTGCAGACAATCGCCATGCGCGGCAAGTTTCACATACAATGTCCTTGGCCGCGAGGGCACATCAGATTACGTATGCTGGCTGATTTACGGGTGCACCACAGTCATTAGGTTGAGATGTGTCGCGAAGGGATCACGTGTGTGCAATACGAGAAGGCTCGTCCTTGGATGAGGCTGGCAGTTTTCCAGAAAGGGTTGCCCGAAGGAGGGCTGGCGCTGTGGCCAGCAGGTTCACGGTCGGATGCGATTTGTCTTTTGGAAAAAACATTCTGCAGTCTTGAATCTCATGTTGCAAAAGCTGTCTCTAAATTAACTCCGTGCCATCCCTAGCAGAAGAGGCACATGGCTGTGAATCAAACAGACTGGGTTTGCACCACGCTGGGGCGGCCATTCCGCGACATAGACTTGTGACAAATCTCCTGGCTTGCGACAAGCACCTTTGCGACAAGGTTCTTTTCTGGGCCATACCTGTGCCAAGCGTTTGCCACAAAGGTATGTAGCAACAGGCCGCAACAAAGGGGTATTTAATCAACAGGGGGTGTGGAGGGGCCCCGCGACAAAACGTTTCTTGATCCACAGCCACATAAGATCACAGAAGAAGCCGAGCTTTGTCGTGGAAAAGCAATCTACCCGGAACCACTAAGCATAAGATGTTTCGGTCTGTTTTCCTCCCGGCAGGCTTAGTCTGCGGGCTGGGCTCCTTCACCCCAACAGATGGACATATGAAGCAGATTGATGCCTCACCGCAGGTTCCCAAGGCGCATTACAGGTATCAAGTCTTTCATGATACCAGGATACCGAATATTGAAGTCTATTCCGAGGCAGGTCGACCACAATGTACATTAGAACGTGGAGAAGGACATATCCACAGCATTGTACTTGCTAGTCCTCTAAGAGACAGCATAACCTCACTGGTAAACGCCGTATTGTCTTGTTGTTGCACCCCACCGGTATGGGCTAAGGACCGTACCGCTAATCCAAATGGGAAATGTACGTATGACCCAAGAGAGTAAGAGCACGCTGGTTGAGGTAGAAGCGCCAAAACGCACGCAGCAGTCGTGCGCACGGCCCTTGCAAAAAACTACTCGCCATTTCTTTCTGGAATTGCAGGTGCCCGAGGGGAGCGAGCTGGCAGCTGCCTCAAGCTGTACAAGAAGCTTTTGACGCCGCTGCTGAGTGCTGCCCAACATGGCTCACGCTTCCTGGACTGCCTGTCAGGCTCGTCGGTGCAAGTATGTTGCACATGCGGTGGTGCCCATGTGGGCAAGATGCTTAGATGAGCTCACTCACCTTCAACAAGCCATTATATGTTTTCTCTTCATGTAAGGCTGGTGATTTGGATCTGCAAGAGCAGAACAGGCGGATAAACCTGCTACGACAGGCATCCCCATACACTAGCCGTCAGAAGCACAGTGCGACCCCTGAGCTTTGCCAAGAAGGCCTACAGCGCTGTTTTTTCTGCCGCGCAAAGCGCTAGCACTCCTGTGCTGCCTGCTCAGCTGGGATGGTGGCTGGGACTGCGTCTACTGGACTCTGGGCCTCTGGAGGCGACGGATTTGTTCGCCTTTGCTGGGTGCGGGAGCAAAGCCTGGAGCTAAGCCAAGTGAAGTCTAGATGGATTGGAAATGCCTTCTGCAATCTATGGCAGGCAATTTCCTGTGGACCTGGCAGCGCGCTGTGCAAGGGAAGCAGCTGCGTGCCCAGACTTCGACCCTTAGACCAGAATTTATAACCAAGAAAACATTTGGGAAGATGGGAAGTCAACATAAGGTCCTCTTGGAGTTACAGAATCCGATGCTGATGGACTTGGAGGTGATCACGTTTATTGACATCCGCGTGCATTGTGTAGACCTCTTGGTCCAGGAGGCACAATCGCAGTTTTCGTGTGGTGTCAACCTCCCTCCATGTTCATCACGCCAGTTCAGCGCCCTGCGCATGTTGAACGAAGAGTGAGCAGCCCAACTCGCAGCAAGCCTTTCGCGGTTTGGAAAGGTCTCGTAATTTTTGGTGCCTTGCTGTCTGCTCTGCGTTATTCTTATCTGCAGACAGGCTTATGCGTGCAGTTCAACTGACAGCGACCATCAGCTCTAGGAAGAGCAAATGGCAAACTTCACACAGACTCTACTGTAGTCGGTCAGCGAGTTTCATGTGCCACCGACGGAAGCAGATTCACGATGGAGGCCCAATTTGGTCCCTAGTGCTGTGCTGAATTACGAGTCTGCGTTGCAGGAGCAAAGTTGGTTCAAGCAGGAACGGGCCTTGCCCGTGGACTCGAAAGAGATTACTTGCTTTGCCTTAGAAGTGCAGGACTTTGCGGAGTTGGAGGATGCCCTCGGCGAGGGAGTCTGGGAGGACACGCTCGGCTTCAATTCGCTACGCTTGCCTGCGCTTGCCTGCGCTTGGCTGCGCTTGGCTGCTCTTGGCTGCTCTTGGCTCTGATGCTTCTGCTCCTGGAGCCGAAGGTGGAAGGAGACAACCTTTATTTCGAGGCCGAAGACATGCAGCTAATTGCTTCGCCCGCTTCGCTTGGTGCGCGGCAGAGGCCAAAGATGCCTCCTCAGGGGCTGCCGCGCTCCAAGTTGCCTGCATATTGACAAGCTTGACCGGTGCCAGCTGTGTACTGACCATGGTGCACTCAGGTAGTTGCAAGCGAGGGTGGCGTTGGGTCGATTGCAGAGCTTGTGCTGCCATCCAAGCTAACAGAAAGCTAACAGGATCAGACGATTTGCAGGATCATGCAGGATCCCGAAAGCAGTGTCCGAGGCATCAGCTCAATAAAGGCCTCGGTTGTCAGGCCCGGACAGCGGTGTTTGGTTAATCAGCTTGCTTCCGCCTCCGACCTCAAAGCGAGGCAACAAACCTGACCATGGCCTTGATTTGTGTCTTGGAGCAGAGCATTGCAAGAGAATCAAACAACGGGTCAGTACTTCAAGAGCCATGAGGTGAGGCCATCGATGTCGACTCAGACGGTACCTTCACCGTCCGGGTCTTGCACCATTTGAGAATTTGGGTAGCATGTTAGCAACGGCTTTACATTGAAGTGCCCGTAGGCTCTTGATACCTGTCTGCTCTATCTGACACATCTCAGAAACACTATAGCAATGCCTTACGCCTCAAGATGCATGTCAGCAACATATGGCGTACGATTGAAAAAACCCTGCCTATCTTTGTCATCGTCATCTGGGAAGGGCATGTGCTTCCCTTGAGCGTTGGCAGACTATTTTTGTGTTCAAGACACTGCCGGAATCAGAGCATGCAAGATCCAGCAGACTAGCCAACCTTGGATGCCCTGGACCGTGTTCATTTGTTTCTGTCATGATCTTGTCTTTGTACCTGATGCCTCAAGCAGGCAGGCAGCTGATGGTTGCGCAATCTGCGCTGCAGGTCGGACTGGCCTTCGACGAAGACTTTGAGGAAACAGCTCTTCTGGCCCGAATTCTAAGTTTCCACAATTTTGCTGCCCTGTTTGGCATTTTTTCTATGCGTCTTCAGGCTGTCACGCTTCGCAGACCCAGACCAGAGCCAAAACTGCCAAGGGAACCAGGTTGATGCTTGGTGTGACCGAGCACTGACAGACTGAATGTCATGGCTCGATGTCAGGCGATCCACCAGAAGATCCGGAGATGCTGTGGCCACGGATGAATGAGACAGCTTGAAGCAACGAGTGTTGAAACAATCTTATACAACAGTGTACAGTGTGTACAGTGTACAGCACCAAGGCCACGGCCCATTGTGCTGCAAGTCAATGGCCAGGTAAGGCTTTGGAAGTTACTTCGGCCGTTTATGATTCATTTGGTTCCCGTAATATGTGACCAGGTGGCTTGCGAGGATGTCGGTGAGTTACCTGTGAAGATCGAGCTGGATGTTCAACTCTGCTGGGATGAGGCCACCATGGAGCTGGGTTCGTCTGGGCCCTTCGCATGTAACATCGATTCTCAGAAACGAACAGCGGTTCTCCGACACCGGCTGCTTCCGCGAGATCCTGAGAAGAGCCCGGAGCTGCCCACATGTGCCTTGCAAGTCGCCAGGCAGTGTGCCTCGATTGCCTCGCGAGTCTCAATTGCTGCAGGGTCGACCGCAGCGAGATGACGATTGACAGCATTGACAGCCTTGACATTGAGGCGACTGGTAGTGTGCGTGGCAGCTGGCAATGCTTCACACGCTGTTTTGCGAGGCAAAAGCAACCTCAACTGGCTTCTACACCACTGACGCGAACTTCGACGTGGCGAAGGCAGCACCTGACTCATCAAACAGAACTTAACAGAACTCAGTATCCCGAGGTGTTTGAGTTGAATAGGGCTAACTAGCAACCGGTCGGCGTTGAAGGGGCCATGTGATCGCAGAGCTTTCAAATCGCCTGGTTTGATGCCTTTGGCCTGTGTTGAAAACCGTGAAGCTAGACATGTTCTGCGTGGGCCATGAATTCCGAACCCACCTCCAGGCCCAGAAAAGCCTCCATGAAAAACCTGTGGCCGGCTTTATGACCGACCTCCTCTCGAAGCCAGGGTGCAGTATGGCCAGTGTGGCAGTCGCCAACTATCAAGAGACAGGAAGGAGAAGTGATGAGACGGCCGAGCGGACTGCCAAATCCCACCCCCTAAGCAAAACATGGACCCCAAAGCTCACCTCTGAGCATGCCACATGCTTCTGTGATATTGAGCCACCCAAGAAGCGGTAATTTTGTTTATCGCTGCGTGTGCCCTCCAGACACAAGCAAGCCAGGCAGTTTTTCTGCGTGCTACGGGCACTGTGCAGATTCGCTTGTTGCTTGAAGCTCAGATGTCCGGTCCGGCAGAGTCCCAGGCCAACTCTTCAAGACAGCCAAGGTCCTTGCAATGCGGTCCTTTGAACGCTTCCTGAGGGCTTGCTGGCACTGCGACTGCCACTGTTGACCTGCTTCTGCGGAGACTGCAGCTGACCTGTGCTTTCGTTGGACGCTTGAGCAAGCTGTGAACACTGGTTATTTTGAGAGGGCAAGCCTTGACAGACGTGTCATGCTATGAGGGCTCAACAAGGAGGTTCGTGCATGTAGAGTTCTGGCCAAGCGAGATTTGCAGAATGACAATGTCAATAGTTCTCTGCATGTCAAGCATGAGGAGAATCTCAAGTGGCCAGGTAAAAGGAGAGGCATGAACGCTCGCACCACACATGGCGGCTGTCCCTTTGTACTAGTTTGGTTAAGTAGCATCTGCGGTCGTCCAAGCATTCGAATCATGTTGAAGCATGAATGACACCCGCGTTGATGCAGGCAACGTAGGCGGGGGAACCTCACATTGGGACCTCGATTAAGTTGCTTGCAATGTAGGCGCGGACGGCGTGGATCAGCAATGCCCTGTGTGCTGGAACTTGCTCTGTGAGCCAGTGGAACTTGCCTCAGACCTGCTTGGGAAAGTTGTAAGTGTAGCTAATGCTGTGCTCAAATCTGGGATGAACAGTTGAAATCAGAAGGTGTTTATCTGAGGCGTGGCCAGGATGTCCTCATCATTTCTGCCTAGCAATGGCCCCAAAGCTTTGCAGGTTGAGCAGGGAATTTTCATGCTGCAAGTGGGTCAGTTTGCGACGCTGAGATCTGTGCGCTGCAAACCCGTCGCAAGCCGAAGCCGATGTGCCCGCTCTGCCGTGCGGATGGCTGAGATCTCACGCGAGAGAGAATGCTTCAAGGCTTTATCAAATGCCAATGAGGTAATTCTGATTTTATGTTGCAAAGGCTCCGGCAAGCCAAGTCAGACAAGCAGGTGATCTGCAGGCCATTTGCGGCTGAGACAGATATGCAAAACCAACAAACAGCATCAAGTTCTTACGAACAAGCTATTTTCATTTTAGCGCGATTGTATAGGTCAACGCTGCCCATGCCGTGCTCGTACGCAAGGACTGACATTTCCATGGGCAGTAGCCTGGTTTGCCTTTGTGAGATGCTCCTGCACTCCAATTTGTTCAATCCTGCTGATCATGGCGGGTTGCTACGTTTCTGCACGATTGCCAACGAGCTGTCTCTTCACGAAGGCCGTTGGCTACTCCGCATACGAATCCCAGCGAAGGGAGACGTGGGCACAGGCAGCAGATCTCGATGCGGCTGGAGGCCTCAATGCTATGTTTTGCTCTAGTCCAGGAACACGCGCTTTTTTTTGGCTGTTTTCGTTTTTGTTGCTGGGCCCCCCAAAGCCAACCCAGGCAGGCGAGTAAGTGAGTGAACTCCGGTGCCCCGCCCCAACAGCAAAAGAAAAATCACGCCCCCCGCCCAAATAGCAAAAACAAAAGGTGGCAACCTCCGATTCCGCCCAGACAGCAAAAAAAAAGCCTTGCCCCGGCCTACCCAGATAGCAAAAACAAAGCCACAGCCCCTGCCTAAACAGCAAAGGCGACCCCCGTTCTCCGGCCTGGCAGCAAAATAAACACACCGCTGGCGCTCGGGTGTGGGGCGTCCACATTTTTGGTCTCGATCACACTTGTGCGTGGAGCGTTGCTACATTCTCACTGAAAATTTCCTCCGGTGTGGAGCGTCCTCGCGCACTTGCGTGTAGTGTCACAATTAGAATAACAATACTAATGACAATCATAAGAATAGCAATAATGATTAAAATGACAATATTCGCATTACAAAAAAGGGGGGGGGGTTGGCGCAGCCCGCCCCCCTCTTGCAAAAACATGGGCGAAGAGCAGAACATGCACCTTCTTGCACACCTTTCTTGCAATCTTGAAGCATTGCATCGGCACTTTAAAGGAGCGGGAGGGTTTGAGGCGTGCAGCGCCTCTCCCAAATCCCTCCATCTCTGCCCAAACAGCAAAAAACAAAAGCCACCCTTTTCCATCGCCCAAACAACGAAAAACAACGCCACCCCCCGTGCTAACGCACCCTTTCGAGGTAAAATGTGAGGACATCTTTTGCTCAGAATCAAGCTCTCGCGTGGAGCGTCCTCACATTTGTATTAAAAATGGAGCTCTCGCGTAGAGTGTCCTCGCATTTTACCTTGAAACCCGGCACTAGCGCGGAGCGTCCCGGGGAGCGTTTTTTTCTTTTTTTTGGGTTTGGGGTGGGAAACATTTTTGTTGTTGTTTGGGCGGGGCATTTTAGTCTTTTTGTTTGGGCGGTCTTTTTTTTGCTGTTTGGGCGGGGGGCATGGCTAGGGTGCATAAGCAGCAAGAAACATCACCCAAACAGAAAGCAACACAAAAAGCTCCCCGCCCAAACAGCAAAAACAACAACATGGTGGCACGTCTTCTCGTGACCCCTGCCAATTTTCACTTGCAAAAGTGACTAGAGAATTTGAAATGTGCAAAAACGATGGTTTTGTAGCTTTCCATTTCAAGGGCTTCTTTTGGACAGGGGCTACAACACTGCGACGGGTCAACTTTTTTGAGCGACTTTATGAGTTTTGCTATAGCGAAAGGCACATTTTGAACGCGGAAAAAAACGAAACTTTCGGGAGGAGTAGAAAAGTATGTTGCGGCCTAAATACTATTTGCTAAGGACTATTTGGGGTTTGAAACATCAAGAGAGGGCTGAATGGGCTCAAATTCTACTTGCTAAGGACTATTTCTGGTTTGAAGCATGAAGAGAGGGCCCAAGCACTACTTGCTAAGGACTAGTTGGGGTTTGAAGCATAAAGAGAGGGCCCAAATACTACTTGCTAAGAATTATTTAGGGGTTTGAAGCATAAAGACAGGGCCCAGATACTACTTGCTAAGGGCTATTTAAGTATTTGGGGTTTGAAGCATGAAGGGAGGGCCTAAATACCACAAACAATCGTTCGATTTCGAACATACAGAGGGTGCCAGAAAAGGAGAAGTGGTGCTGGGGAGGGTATCATCCAACCATGCATGCCTGAAAGTTGTTATCCTGGTAGCAAGGACGAACTTTTGAACAGGTCGGTACTAGTTGCACGAAAGTTATTCCTGGTGACATGGACGCACTTCTGAACATGCACGTGCGACTTCCCTTGCAATGGTCCTGGAGCGCTGACTTTCGGGAAGCTCGTCCAGACACAGCGCGGCAGCAGGTGCAGAGCGCAGTCGGCTGCCCTACATGGCGACACTAACCCCTGTGTGTTCTGAGCCAGAAACATCCGCAGTGTCTGCGCATGCTGAAAACCCCACAAACGCAGGGTCTTTGAGTGGACGTGCGAAAAACCTGCACCGCGCCCAAATAGCACAAAAACGACGCCCCCGCCCAAGCAGCAAAACACACACGTACACAGCAGATACCAAGTCTGAGCCTGCCAGTTCTCTTTTGTGTTTTTTTCCATTTCTCCGATGGAAGATCTTTTTGAGTATGATCTGCCTTCTCTCTTCAACCAAGAAAGCTGGGCTCTTGGGATCTTCAGAATGTCAGTCGGAGCGTGTTCAGCATCTTCAATCTTAGTCTTGGAGAATTCATTGAAGCCACAAAACGGTTAACAAGTCGCGCCATGTCGCGCCTTACTAGATATCCCATTCACAACCGTAGCTTCATTGCAGAGATAAGGTTGTGAATGCCATGTGCCCCTGCGTATTGAAATGTTCTCTGCACAAAGCAAGCCTTTCTTACATTGTAAGGTTGCTCTTGGCCTTTCAGATACGAAGGTTTTACACACAGATACCAGGTTTCTGCCTGTTGTCAGTAATGATAAAGGATTCCTCACAGAAACAAATGATTCATTTTTTTTAGCCAAGCGAATGCAAATCACAATGACAGTCTATCTTGCGGAATGCTAAGCTGCCCTTCAATTGAATCGATTTTGTCGTGGAGGTTTTGCGAGCTTGATGTGAACATCGGCATTGTGAGACGTAAGGTAGCTAATCTTTGTTGCTGTAGGCGCAGCTCCGCACGGATCTCTTTGAAGGGTTCTTCACCGAATCTTCTTAAACTACTGAGTTGTTGGCAGTCCGCTGGAAAATTGGCTGCAATTGATCGTGACAGAACTTATGTCTGTGTCCTGTGGACAGTTCTGTTTATTTCCCATATTAATGTTCCGGCAAAAGCTGCATAGCCAGCCTTTCAGCTGCCATATTTTTGCATTGGCTAGTTCACTTGATAGTTCTTACCTCTTTCCATACACGTTTGCTGAAACGAAAGTTGAGTGCTACTTAAGTTCAGGCGGGAGCTTCTTGTAACATGTTTTGAATAAAAAGTGGTTCTACCACAAGACAAAAACACCAAAGGATCTCCAGGCCTCAAGCGCTAACTGCTGAGGAAGTTTCTGACTTTTGTCTTGTTGCAGCAAAACTTGATCGCACGTTGAATTTGAACGGGACCTTTTTGAAAAGATTGTTACCTAAATGCATGTGGAATGGTTCGTTCTTACATGAAGATCTTAGCTCTGAGGCTTTGTGCGGCTTAGCCGCAGCCTCTTGCCATTTCCAAATTATGTCAATATTCCAGGATTTCATGTTCCTAGGCCTCCAACAGTGGGTCCTTCTACTTCTCTGGCTGTCCTTATTGCGCTTTAGAGAGTTGCTTGAATCAAAAACCACTTTTTGATAAAGACACTATGGGATCTCCAGGCCTCAAGCACTACCCGTTGATGGGGTTGCTGTTCTTACCTCTTGCCTTAAGTGCTTGCTGAAGCAAAACTTGAGTGCTACTTTAGATTTGAGCGGGAGCTTCTTGTAACAACTGCTGCTCGAAGGTAGCAGGGGCTTCTTTGAGTCATAAGCCTTTCTACGATAAAGACACCGCAGGATCTCCAGACCTAAACGCTAACTGCTCAGAAGCTTCTGACGTTTGCTTTTTGTCCAAAGTAGCTTTTGCAACAGAACTCGGTTGCAACTTGAATTAAATCGGGACCTTCTTGAAAAGACTGTTGCCTATATGCATGTTGAATACTGCAGTACCAAATAGCAGAGACACAGGTCTGAAGGCTTATTTTTCACGAAGATCTGTT